TTTTTTTTTTTTCCTCCTCCCTAGGCTGGTTTTGAACTTGAAGTCCTCCTGCCTCTCCCTCATTTGTTTATTGGTGGTATTGGGATTGAACCCAGGACCTTGTGATTGCTAGGCAAGTGCTTTACCACTTGAGTTATGCCTCTGGTCTTCCTCCCCCAAATACCCTTTTAATTTTCTTTTTTGAGATAGGATTTCACTAACTTTGCCCTGATTGGCCTTGAATTTTCAATCCTCCTCTCTCCTCTAATGAGTGCTGGTATCATAGGGTATGTGCAAATATGCCTGGTGCTTGTAACATTTTCGATCTGTAATATCTGTAGTAAGAAAAACAGTTACAGCTATGCAGAATGCACAGGTTTTGTCCCTAGCTTTTTTTTTTGGGGGGGGTGGTGGTAATAAATGGAGTTTATTAAGTTATGGAAGGGAAATACAAAGGGAAGCATGGTGAGGCCCAGGTGGAAGCTGGAAGCCGAGAGAGTGTGTTTCTGTTCTTCAGGTGCTTTTAAAACCCTTAATAACCTATGGAAAGGGGAGAGCAAGGAAATTCCCAGCCAGTAATCAAGGATTGGGTCGGGGCATGGGCAGTTCTCAGCCAGGTAAGGGTGGTTCCTGAGCCAAAGCATGGTTAAGTTTTTTTTTTCTATGAGTCTCTCATTTACCCTGCCTCAATTCCCCCTCAGAGACAATATTCCAAAACATTCTTTTTTGGGGATTTGAAGGGGAGGGTGGTCTGTTTTTAGTATCTGCTTCAAGCTGACAAGGTGCAGCAGACCCTACCTATAAGCAGAAATTGTCTCTCCTCTTTTTTTCTCTTGGGATTCATTTGGACACAAGGTATCTGAATTATTGTCCTTTACAATTAAGGTTCCTCATGGAGATCTGGATTGCTCATGGATATCTTGTTAATTTGTAGAGATCGATATCCTTGTTGCCTCATGATTTGGGTCCTAAAGGCTTTCATTATGGAAGAGATAAATCTGATTTAGAAGGCATAACCTGAACATTAAGAATGACAAGAGCATCAGAAGGGGGCCCTGTCAGCTGTAACAGGAAGGATAAAGAATCTAACCTTTCATTTTGAAAAGTGACAGAGTCTTATGGTTACTTTGTCTATAAATGTTTATGTCTGTAACTATTTTCAACTCTTAGATGGCCTTCCATTTTAGACTGTCATTGTAGTGGGCATAAGTTAAGGGCTGACTACATTGGCGGCCAGGTGTGCCAAAAGACAGGTGTCTGTCCAATTAGAGAGTAAACATCAATGAGTCGGATGTGTACAGAAAGAAGATTCATTGTCCCTAAGCAGAAGTTAGATACCATTGAAAGTTATATTATCTTTGCTTAAACAGAAGGCCGTGGCTAAAGACATGAGTTTGCCTTTTGTAGAAACCTAGAAGGCTTAAGTATTAGAGCATATGTGTAAGGGCCCCTTTTAAAAATCTCTTGCCTTTGGTTGCTTTTAGAGGTCTGGCATAATTGGTTCCATTTGGATCTGGAGAAGTCCCCTCATTTGTGCAGTCCTCTTGAACTGTCTCATATGGCTGAATGCCACTTGTTCCTCTAAGAAGTTGGGGAATGCTGACTGCTCGGGGGTGGTCATGTCCTCTTAAACTATTTCTCTGAATAGTCGTCTCTGAAGATTCTGCCAATTTGGCAGTTTTGTCCCACGAAGCAGGAGTGGCTTCTCACAGAAAGTCAGATTTTTTCCATGGAGGGGAAGTAATTCATTGAACAGATCAGAAGTCAGTGTCTCTGGCTTTTAATTTAATTTCAAATGTTTGTATCATAAATTGTTTAGCTGTTACCATATTGAAATGAAACATTTCCATTTACAAATAAAAACATGACAAAAGTCCTGCTTCATGAAAACTTTTTCTCTGTTTTAGATTTTTTTTTTTTTGCTAGAAATCTAGAAATAGAATTATTATACCATAGTCTATTCCTGTTTCTTGTTTTCCTTTTCTTTTTGGTGGGGCTGGAGTTTGAACTCAGGGCTTTGCTCTTGCAAAGCAGGTGTTCTTGATTCATATCTCAGGTCCATTTTGCTCTGGCTATTTTGAAAATGGAGGGAGGGTCTCATGAACTATTTGCCCGGGCTGATCTTGAACCACGATCCTCCTGATCTCAGTCTCCCAAGTAGCTAGGATTACATGTGTGAGCCATCAGGGCCCAGTCTAAATCATAATATCTTTAAAAAATGTTTTGCTAGCATATGATAGTTTTACAGGGGATACATTGTGATATTTACACATGCTTACAATTTATCTTAGTTAGGTTTACCCCCTCTATCATTCTCCCTCTTCCTCCTTCTCTCTACCTTCTTAGAACAATTTCAGCAAGTTTTATTCTCTATTTTCATATATGGATACAAAATATATTCACCATATTCACCCTCATTTCTCCCTTCCTTGTGCCTACCCACCTTCTACTAGTACCCATCCCTGGAGAAGACTTATTTTTCCCTCCTGTCCTTTTTTTTTTTTTTAAGTATATATTGACAGTCCAAGGGGGCTTCGCCTTGGTACTTCTTTTTCCTTCTCTCCCTCTTTTCTCTTTCAAGTTTAGCATCTGGGTACCTTTAGAGATCTCCTTCTCTCCCTCTTTTCTCTTTCACGTTTAGCATCTGGGTACATTCACTGATCCTTGCCTGTTTTTTCTCTGTGTATGAGTCACACTTTCCTATTTCTTTGCATGTTGTATAATTTAGTTGAAAACTAATTTTAGCTAGTATATTGTAGTTACTCCATGTAACTATTCTTCTTGATGTGGGTCTTAATGTTGTTTGTTTGGTCATTTGCTTAATGAAGTGATGGAACTAATTCTCTGAAGTTTGTTTCCTTCAGATGAAACTACTCAAATGTAGGCCTCCATCCATTTCTCAGTTTAACTCATAGACTTGCCGTATCTTGAATCTGCACTCAAAATTTATTGATCTGGTTTTACTTAAGTTTTTTTCCCCAGTACTGGGGCTTGAACCTGAGGGCCTATACGTTGAGCCACTCCACCTGCCCTATTTTCTGATGTTTTTTGTTTTGTTTTGTTTTGTTTTGTTTTGTTTTGTTTTGTTTTGAGAGAGGGTCTTACAAATTATTTGCCTGGGCTGGTTTCAAACTGCAGTCTTCCTGATCTTTGCTTCCTGAGAGTGAGGATTATAGGCATAAGCCACCAGTGCCCAGCCTTAAGCAATCTTAACAACTGGGTTTTCACCCTTTTCTTTTGAATGTGTATGTGACTTAGAGACTTTTCAAGGGATCCAAGTCATTTCTTAAAAGGTTTAACATTGACTTAATGTGTATAACCTTTTTGTTTTGGTGGTACTGGGACTTGAACTCAGGGCTTCACACTTGCTAGGCAGGCACTTTATCACTTGTACCAACCCGTCAGCCCTCTTTTGTATTGGATATTTTTGAGATAGGGCCTCACAGTAAACATTTTTCCCAGGCTGGCTTTGAACCACGATCTTCCTCCTCTCTGCCTTTTGAGTAGCTAGGATTGCAGGTGTGAGCCACCAGTGCCTGGCATGTCTTAGTATTTTTTGTGTAGGGTCTCACTTGTAAGCCTGGACTACGCTGGACCTCTGTCCTCCTATTTATGCTTCCCACAGACCTGGTATGACAGGTATGCACCACCATGCCCAACTTTTTATTGGTTGAGATGGGGTGAACCATGGTCCTGATTTTTAAGTCTGCCACAAATCTTGATTCGAGTCTCCTGTTGGGTGCAATGTAGTTCATATGTGCAGGTTTTTCCATTCCCAGGGATGAGTTTGATTCCAGAATGGTCACCCTTTGCTCTCTAGTTCTCTGGCTCTTTTAGCTAATCATCCAGTGTGCTGTTATGTTTTTTTCTACTGGTATGTTGGAGATACCAGTCTCATCTTAATTACTCATCACCAAAGTCTCTTTATAGGATTCCCCAGCCCTGAGTTTACTTAAATTTTATTGGCTAATTTATACTGGACTAATAGCATTTGTATACTTTTATAGTTTGCTTTTTTCCTCTTCTTTTTGCTTTATAAACCATAATTATATACATTTATGAGGTACAGTGTGATGTTTTGATATTTGTATACAATGGGAATTCTCCATTGTCTTCTTACTTACCTCCCCCCCTCTTTCTTTTTTTGGTGATACTGGGGTTGAACTCAGGATCTCATGCTTGGTAGGTAGGCACTCTACCATTTGAGCGACATCCCAGCCCACCATTGTTTTCTTATAATGCCTTTATGTATGAACTCTGAACCCTGTTACAAATAGTCTGTCCTCTCTGCTTATGTAATTGAGTCTGCTATCACATGACCAGCTATAATTTTTGAGCTGTGAAAAGATTATTTTTACATGCAAATGGACCAGAAGTCAGTCAAAGATGCTAGGGTTGTTCATTGACTTACAACTCTGAGGCATTTCCAACCTACTAAGCTAAAGCATCTTCCTCCCTTCCCAACATCTCCTGTTGGTTGGTGGGTCTTAAAAGGACATTAGTGGGATCTCTTGTAGAGAGTAAGAATGACTTAAACCTTGCTCACATACATATGGCTGTCCTTTGTCCCTTAGGTCCCAACTCCCTATACCAAATCCTTGTTAATGTTCTTATTTGTAGTGAGAGGAATGATAAACCTCTTATTTTAATACCCTGTTACAAGAATCAGTTGAATATATTGACAAGGAGGTTTAAAAAAAAAAAAAAGGGTGTCTTAGACTGTGACCTGACTTCTGGCCTCATCATCTGTGAAGTCTTCATGTCTGGCAGGGTTTTTGAGACTAATGAACACAGTGCCTTTGTGAATTTTTAGTAGAATTACTTAAATAGTTCTGCTTATCTTTTCTTATCTCTATTGTTGACAAAAATTAAATTTCTGCCCAAAAAAAGAATTCATGTTTTGAAGAAAAGTAGATAAGTTAGTAAACGTGATCTTCATTTCTGAAGATAACTATAAAGTACAGATTCATGTTGAGCATGTATACGATTTTTATTTCATTTTTGTTTCCCTCTACCCTAAGACTTGCTACATTTGTGATGAACAAGGAAGAGAAAGCAAAGCAGCCACTGGTGCTTGCATGACATGTAATAAGCATGGGTGTCGACAGGCTTTCCATGTAACATGGTAAGTGTCCATCATTGTACAGAAGTGAAATTGGCAAATTATTTAACAATCATGTTGAAGACTTAGTGTAGTACTCAGGTATTACTGCAGTTCATTTTATTGAAATAATTTTTTGTTTTTGATGGTTTCAGGGTTTGAACTTGGGTTTCAAGCTTGCAAGGCAGGTGCTCTACTGTTTGAGGCACACCTCCAGCACTTACTGGAATAATTTTTGTGTTTAGATTTACTTATTTGTAATAATGATAATTCTAATAACTGACTACTTACTAGAATGGATTTATAGTAAATGGGTCCCAATTCTATTGCAAGCTCTGGTTTCATCTACTTTATAATATTGGTATTGGTTGCATATCCTTTGATTTGTTATTAGGAGTAGATAACCTGGTAGGTAAATGCAGTGCAGTGTTGTAGATATTAGTAAGGACTCGGTGAATTGTAGTGCTTCTGTGTCTCAAGGGAAAAATAATGAAGTCACCATCATTCTCAATATTATAGTGGCTATTTCTTGAAAATTGACTTAGATTTATTTTTTCTTTTCAGCATAAAATTTCAGGGGCAAAAATTATTCTATATAATAGACAGTAGTTCAAGTAAAAGTTTGGGAGTAATCCATGTACTTATTTAAGATTCAGTCCTTGCCTAACTGCTCATTTCTAGTGTTTTGGAAATATGAAACACATTTTAGGCTACTTTTGGAAAATGAAAAAGATTTTTGATTTTTTTACATTCTTTTGATTACTAAATTTACAAAGATGAAAGCTTTTTGTTTTTTGCCTGTGAGACCTATATAAATACACTAACTTTGGAGTGATAAAAAATGTGAAAGGTCGGATTGAGAGGTTGATTATAAACTTTATATGTTTTTTTAAAAACGTGAATATTATAACTTTAGGTTTCAGTCCATCTCTTTTTCTTTCTCTCTGCCTCCCTCTTTCTTCTTCTGTTTTGTTTGGTACAGCAGGTTTAGCTCAAGGCGTTGTTATGTGCTATACCACTGAACACCTGCAGCTCCTCTAACTTTTTTTTTTTTTTTGGCAGGTCTAGTGTCTGAACTTAGGGCTTCATGCTTACAAAGCAGGCACCTTACCACTTGAGCCACACCTCCAGTCCAGTTCTCTAATTTTTTGTATTTGTGGGGGGTGCCAAGGATGGAACACAGGACCTGTGCATGCTGGCCAAATAACCAGCCGCTGAGCTACACCCTGGCCCTCTTTTGTTGTTTTTGACTGAAAAGCACAACTTACGTTTATCTTGCCTACTGTGCTGTTACTGAGCATTTAGAGTGGCAAGATTAGTGTTGGGGGAATGAATTTTTCCTGTTAAGAAATTTTCTTTTGAGTCTGGAGGTGTAGCTCAGTAGTATAGCACTTGCTTTGCAAGCGTAAAACCCTGAGTCCAAACCCCAGTCCCACCAAAAAAAACAAAGAAAGAAATTTCGTCTTAAGGCTGGACATGGTGGCACATACAGTTGGGAGGCCGAGGCAGAAGTTAAGAGGCCACCCTGGACACTCCATCTCAATGTTCCCCCCTACTCCCCCAAGATTTTTTTTTTAAGAAATATAACCTTGTAATTTCCATCACATGTCATTTTGGTTTGTTAGAGAGACATGTCTTTTATTTGTTCCTGTGACGTAGATTCAGAAAGTAAGAATTGTTAATTGCGAAGCGAAAAAAATAATTTATCTTAACCTTTTTTTGGGTGATGGGGTGGGGAGGAATGGATCTTGCTTTATTGCCCAGGCTGGAGATTGTCCTGCCTCAACCTCCTGAGTAGTTAAGACTCAGGTGTGTGCCACTGTGCCCACCTCTTAAAGAAACTTAATAACTAGGGCTAGGAGCATGGCTCAAGTGGTAGAGCACTTGTCTAGCGTGCGTGAGGCTGTGGGTTCAATTCCCAGTAGTTCTGAGAAACAGAACAACAAAACCCTTAATGACTATTTGACATAAGACATGAATACATCTTCATCCTTGATAGAAATGGATGAAGAGTTTATTTTAAACTCTAACCTTAACAAACAAACAAACAATCAGTTGCAGGTTGGCTACACTAGAATAAAGCTTTCTATCTTCCCTTATCCTCCCCGAACTTTTTTTTTTTTTTTCCTCTGTGGTGCTGGGGATGAACCTCAGGACTTCATGCTGCTTGCTAAAGCAGGCACTTTAATACTGAGCTATACCTCAAACTCCTGTTTTCTCTTTATTTCCATTATATTTTCTTATAAGCACTTCATGCTTAGAAGTAGATTTTGTTTGTTAATATATACTCTGGCTTGAGTTTTTATTGATGGACTTGGCCTTTATTTTCAGTGCTCAGTTTGCTGGACTACTTTGTGAAGAAGAAGGTAATGGTGCAGATAATGTCCAATACTGTGGCTACTGTAAATACCATTTTAGTAAGCTGGTAAGAATTACTTTTTGAGTTTGTATTAAAATGATAATAGTTTTGACAATAGTGACTTGGTTTTACAAACTTCATAATAGCAATTTCTTTTGCCTTGATTTTTGCTCAAGATTAAATTTAATTAGCATGTTATTTATTGGAAATAAAAACAGCTAGTAATTTTTTCTTTTTTTTTTTTTGATGAGACTATGAACTCAGGGCTTCATGCTTGAAAAGCAGTCGCTCTATCGCTTGAACCACATCTTTGGTCTATTTTGCTCTGATTATTTTAGAGATGGGGGTCTTGCAAACTGTTTGCCTGGGCTAGCCTTAAACTGCAATCCTCCAGATCTCAGCCTCCCAAGACCTAGGTAGTAATTTAAAAAGACTTTGTTTTGCTTTGGTTCTTTTATAAAGGTGAATAGGCTAAATTATTCTAGATTAGACTGTATATTAGTAATTGATAGTAAATGTTTATCATGTAGTGGAAAAATTAATTTATAAAGAACTTTTTCTTATCAGCCATTTTGATTTTCAGCATATAATTATCATTTTGGGTTTTTTTGTTTTTTTGAGACACAGGGTCTTACTATGTAGCCAAGGCATCCTTGAATGCACACTATTCCTGCCTCAGACTCCAAAGTTCTGGGATTGTAGGCATGCATCGCCCCACTTGGTGCTCATTTTTTTTTTAATCCTGTGTTCCCATCTTCCTGTTTCATAATTATTAGACATTTTATTTTTTGTGTATTTTCACTTTTATTTATGAGGAAATAGTCAAACCGAAATAAGGCTCTTTGTAAGGACCTTGGTTAAAGACCTTGAGAAATCATAATTAAATCCAACTTAGGGAGTTTTTTTTAGATTTAGTCAATTTTTGCATGGATGATTGAGTTAGTAACATTTGATTGATTGTTATATATTTTTTCCCATGTTTGTTTGAAGGATCAAGAGTTCCTTAATGTCCCAAGTATGTTTCCTAGTTCTTAATGGTACAGATTGATACACTGAAGGTTTGCCATTTTTGTTTTCCCTTGTGTCTAGTTTTTAAACTACTACCTTTCCCTGGTGAATATGGCTATTTTGTTGTTTCTTTCAAGGAATAATATTATTAGGGAGTCTTGTGAGCACCTCATGTCTCTGTTTTTCTGATTCATAATATGAAATGTAGTATGTGCTATATTATGGTAATGAACTACTTGTACTGGTGGTGGTCTCATGAGATTGTCACAGAGTTGAAAATTAATGTCATTTAGTATTTCTACTTTACCTTTTCTGTTTAGATATGCTTAGATATAGAAATACCACCGTGTTGTAATTACATACAGTGTTCAGTACAGTAAGGTGCCATATAGGTTTATAGCCTAGAAATAGTAGGCTATGCCATATAACCTAGGTATGTAGGAGACCACTGCGCCTAGGTTTGTGAAAGTACACCTGATGATGTTCATAGGATGGTCCAGTTACCTGATAGCACATTTGCTAGGCTGAATCTCCTGATACAGTCTATATTTTGTGATACAAACTTAAAATTTGAGTTTATGTTATTTGATTCTAAAGGTTTTGATTTATTTTAATGACTGGCAAAAAAAAATTGAATTGTTTTGAGAGAAGACTTGAGATTGTAAAATTGAAAATTTTGCTTTGTGGGTGTTAAGAGCATACTGTAATCTTCATTTTCTAAATGAGAGTTGATACTGATAAAACATAAAAATAATTTTTGAAGTTTGTGCAAGTAGAATTTTCTCATTACTATTTATTCACGCAAAGTTATTCTATTTGCTAACTTGGAAAAGTCTTTAATAAGTTAATAAGAATACTTAAACTACATTTGCATATGTTTTGTAATTTTTATTTAGTTAAAACTAGTTAGCTATGATATCACCAGCAACATTTAAACATTCCAAATAATTCTCATCTTCATACTTCATTATGCAATGGTGTAAGTTATTTTTAACAGAAATGTGTAATGCTTTGAAAAATGCATGGGTCTAATACTGACATTTCTTTTAATTTTTTTTCTAAATGAACTACAGAGATAAGTTTTTAAAGAACTGATTTCCTTAATACCAAAGTACAAAAATCTGCTTGCTTTACTAGTGGGCTATAGTAACTCTTTAAATATTTACTTTTCTATTCTTCTAGTCTTGGCATCCTTCTTTAATATGGCATTTTCTCTTTTTGGTTGAAACAATTTTTTTAAACAACATTGAAGACATGGGGCTGATGGAATACCTCAAGTGGTAGAGCGCCTGCCTAGCAAGCGGGAGGCCCTGAGTTCAACACCCTCTGTACTGCCATTGCTCCCCCTGCCAAAAAATGATATAGCTTATTTGAAAATAGATAATCTGTTTTCATACATTTTAATAATATGGCATTAGTGTTAAATTTAGGGTTAATTTTTTGCTTGTAATGTAACCAAAGGTTTCTAAAGTGGATTATGTAAATTAAGACAATAACTTATTACTTTAGTAGGCATTTTAAAATACTTCACATGAAATAGTCTAAACCTAATAAAAATTCTTTAAGTAATTTTTATATACATATACATATATGTATATATATTTTCTTTTTTAGAAAAAGAGCAAACGGGGATCTAATAGGTCATATGATCAAAGTTTAAGTGATTCTTCCTCTCACTCTCAGGATAAACATCATGAGAAAGAGAAAAAAGTAAGTGGATTTGTTGTTGCTAATTATGTAGCACATCACTTAATAGAATTTTTTTTTGCCTTTTTAGATAATCTAATTAAGTTCTTGATAGCGAAATGGAAACATACAGAAAATTTTTGATTAATAAATATTAGTTCAAAGAGTAGGTTTAAAATAATGCCATATTTGTGAACATGGTTTTTACCTTTTGCAGCTGAAAATTTAAAATGCAATTTGATTGAAAGCATGAGAGTGATTTCTTGCATGTGTTAACTATGGTCATCTTGTGAAATCTTTAGGTGACTTCAACAATAATAATTTATATATATCATTAACTGATTACTTCATGTTAAGTAATTATCTCATCAGCTTTTCTCTTTTATAATAGAAGAGTTTTGAAGTTCTAAGTATTAACTGGGTTTTCATGGTGCTAATGGTTTATAATTTTTTCTAACCACTAACTGTTATACCATTTCTTTGAGAATATTTTGTTTTTTAATTAAAACACAAATCTTGCCTAAATACTAATCTGTCTTCCTCTAACTTACCTGTTAATCAACTAAAAGGTGAATATTATATAATTACTCACTTGATTTTAATTTCTGTAAGACCTTATTGCTAGTGTAGTAAATGGATTCTACTATGAATTGTTTTAATGGAAACAAGGATATGAGGGACATCTTCAGTGGAAAACAGTATTCTTATACAGTTGGGATAAACAAGGTTTGAAAATATTTCTGCAGGTTGTATTCAAGAAATAGATTACTTAACTTTTTCACGTCTGTAAATACTTAGGATTTGGGAAATGCTGATATATAGTTATTTAAGCACCTTTTGGTCTGAGTTTATTTTTATACTTTTTTTAAAGGTAAATATTAAAATTTAAGTATTTAGTTTTGAGATTAAATTTATCATTATGAGTGAAATAATATAACTTTATACTCAAGGTTAGACCATGTATATATGTATAAAAGTATGTCTTAAGCCCCATATTTATCTTGAATTCTTCATGGTGGTTTTGTAATTAAGTATTGAAAAACTTCAAGATTGTTCTCATTAGCAGTTTAGTAAGAGACACCATGAGACTTATTTAAGCTTTTAAAATCAGAAGCTGAAGATGCTTTATGCAGTGCTCATAATGTGTGAAGAGGGACGTCTCACCATTAATGATGAGATGATGTTATGTCACAAGCATATACTTGTTTTAGAAGTATATACTTTATAATCTTAGTTTAATGCATGTCCTGTCATGTTATTTGGAGAACAATTATTAAAAGTACTACAGTGTTGAATAAATATGTTCTTGATGACTATGCTCTACACTTATTTATCATCCCCTCTGAATAAATTTGATTTCATGTCTTAGGAAATTATTTTTGAAATTGTTGTTGAATATTAGATTTAAAAACTGTATTTAGTCAAAGTTGTTTAAAAACTTTAGATTTTAGAAGTATTTAAATAGTATTTGGACTTTACTCTTTTGCATGTACTGAAATTAGAACTCAGTTTTTTTGTTGCCAAGCTTAAAATCTATTTTTGAATTTTATTCTTAACCATAGGTTTATTATTAACATACATATATTATATATAAACGTACTGTAAGCTCATAGTCTTTATATTTGCTTGCCTTGGTAATGTCTGGAAGAGGGACTTTTAAAATGATGATACGATGTTAAGTGATGATAAAGTTAAAGATGGAGTAGTATAGACTTATTTTTTCCTCTCCCTCCCTCTGTAATACCGTTTTGTTTGTTTTTTTTGGTCACGGTCTTGCTATGAAGTCCCAGGCTGGCCTTGAACTCACTCTAGATCCTCCTGCCTCAGTCTTCTGAGTGCTGGTATTACAGACCTGAACCACCAAGCCCTGCTTTTCTACCCTATTTAAATTTTTTACTTTTTTCTAGGAAGCTGGGTCTTGCTGTGTAGGTGAGGCAGAAATTGAATCCCTAAATTCAGATGATCCTCTGCCTCAGCTTCCTGAGTACCTGGAAGTACGGACCCTGCCTGCTTTTTTTTTTTTTTTTTAAAGATTTTTGCATTTAGGCTGTATGTGGTAGGTAGGATAAGTGCTGGATATGTATAATCCTAGCACTTGGAGGCTGAAGCAGGAAGATGGAGAGTCTGAGACAAGCCAGGGCTACTGAATGAGATTCTATTTCAATTTAAAAAAAAAAAAAAGGTGCAGACCACAGTATTAGCTACTCTCTAAGGCTTTGTTCAGATAGAAACATGGACTTTATAGTAAAGCTCTATGCCAGGAAGTGCTGAGGACAGAGGTCCATGTCACAATTGTAAAACAGAAATATGTTTTTCTTAAGCAACCAGGTGGTGATTTGGCTGTAGTCAGAATCACTAGGAATGCATTTTGGTGGTTTTTAATAAGAAAATCATCTCTGTCTATAAAGGACTCTTCATTTAAAAAATAAATTCTTTTCATACCTGTAAAAATGTTTAAGAGCACCAACTTTACTTTTTGCCTTATTCTAATTTGAAGGTTTTTAAAACCACAGAATGGGGTGTAGAAGAGTTCAGAAATGTAGAGGAATGTCAGACATGGGAATATGTGGTATATTGGGAAGCCTGTCTTCAGAAAGAGTTTATCTCTGAAGGCTAAGTTGTATGTAGGTCAGTATTTAGAAATCAGTGGTTGTTTATTGCATTGAGATAGTCTTGTTCATTTGGTCTTCAGACTTACCTTCTTTCTAGCCATCAATGCTAATTAATCTATTTTGTATTAACGTTATAATATTATAATCATTTATAGCCTGCTCACCATTAGTATTAAAGATGTACCTGAACTTTGGGTGGAGTTGCATTCCAGTAAGTCCATCACAAGTTGCAAATAAGTCCAGTGCACAACACCTGACCTATCTAGCCTCATAGCTTAGCAGTGCAGTATACTGTCGTTTACTATTGCAGTCACGTAACTGACTGGAAGCTGCTGCTTCCTGCCATTGCACAGCATTGCCAGAGAGAATTGTACTGTATTGTTAGCCCAATAAGATTAAAACCCAAAATTCAAAGTATAGTTTCTATTGAATGCATATATTGCTGTTGCATCATGTGAAAAGATATCACATCATGTTTAAAAATAGTTAAGTTGAACAGTCTTAACTTGGAAACTGTCTTTAAATGGAAATGCATTCAAGTAGGTTTGCCAGAAGTCCATCTGTCCCCTACTACATTGAGATGGGATTTATCTCCCATCCTTAGTTGCCCTTGATTCCAGTCTGTTTTTAATAGCTGGCAGCAGATACAGGAACTTTTGCCAATATAACACTGTTACAGTATTGTGGAGGTTTATGGGAGATAAGACTTTTTTGATTAGTGTTTTGTGAACCTAGGGGACTGACTAGTTACCCTTTTGTTTAGGGTAACTCATCTTTTGAAAAGAACTGGACTACTTTCTTCTGTGGTTCAGCAAGCTAAAATTCTCAGTCAGTGCATTATTGTTACTTTTCTGTCCTGTCAAAGGTTTCAGCATTGGGAGTTACCTGACACCTGCTTCTTTTTTTGTGTACCTTCCTTTTTGGAATCTTGCATTTCAGTTGCAGATTTCAAGCAGAGAGCTAAAAGAAGACAGGACTTTCATAAGTAATGTTTCAGTTGGCTGGTGTGTATGTTTGATGAGTTTGAAGTGCAAGAAGAGGTTGGTTCATGAAGAGTTTTATAAGCAATTCTATTTGTAAACTTCATCCTTGGGTATTGAGCACCAGCTAGAAGGATTATATGTTTTTTAAGCTTTTCTTCTTTTGCAGTCCTGGCGATTAAATCTATATCCTTAAGAATGCCAGGCACCACTCTACCACTGAGCCACACTCTCAACCCTTCCCTCCCCTCCTCTGCCCTCCCCTCCATAACCCTGGTTAGGGTTGAACTTGAGATCCTCCTACCTCAGCCTCCAAAATGTTAGGATTACAGGTATGTGCCTCATGCCCAGCTGGGCATATCATTGTTTTAATCTTTATTCCGTGGTTTTCTGACAGTAGCCTAGATTGTATTTTGATTGGGAGTCATTTTTTGTTTTTAGCATTGTATGCTGTCTGGAGAGACAGCAATTTTTAAACCCAGTAAGTCTTGGTTCTTTTTTTTTAATCAATAGTTTTTTATTTGGGTTATCTCTTTACTTTTCTTTCTGTTGTAAACAATAAGACATTAGCCTGAACCTTCAAAAATTATCTGGAAATCTCCTTAATTAAACCATGTAATTCATTAAATACATGTTCTATTTCTCATGTTGTCATAGGCAGCATTGTTGTGAAACTTTCAGGTACTACATAACAGATTTCCATTTTATTTTTACATTTTTTTCTTCTTTGCTTGGTGCTGGAGATTATTCCTGCTAAGCACATGCTGTGCCACTCAGCTTCATATACTTCAAGCTGCAAAGGAAAGCTATACTGTCCTTTAAGCCCTTCTTAAAGAATACAGCTTTCTATTAACAGTCTCTTTAGTGCTCACAAAGCTTTCACTAATAATCTCCTGAAAGTCCTGTCAGCTTTGCTCACTCTAATTCTAAGCAACTCCTGTATTTTTAGGTTGTGTTGTTATGGGAACACCCCACTCCTGGTAACAAATTCCCAAAGAGTAATCTGTAAGTCTGTGTTGTTTATCCATTGTAGCATGACAAACTACTCTATAAAGTTTAGGGACTGGGGTGGGTGGGTGGGAATAGGGAAATAGAGAGTAATAAAGGGACTTAATCTGATTCAAGTAAAATATATTCATGTGTGAAATAGCGGTGAAACCCTCTGAACAACAAAAATACATGTAAAAAAATGAAGGAAAGGAATGTAAAAATAGGTCCTGTTCAAGGGTGTATGGTACAGGGAAAGGGTAGGTGAACAGAGGAACAGGTGAATATGATTGATGTACTTTATATACTTGTGTGGAAATAGAACAGTGAAGCTTGTTGAGATTGTTTTAAGAAGTGGGGGAGGGGAATGAGGGAGAATTTAACCAAGGTACATTGTAAGCATATATAAATGTCGTGATGAAACTCCCCTGTACAACTAACATAT